AATGCGGCGGAACACCTGCAGAATCTCCGACAAGGGACTACGCTGCCGGTTGGAGAAGTGCTCCTTTGCTCAGCCTTTTGTAGAGTACCTGGGACACTACCTTTCCAAGAACGGTATTGCTAAAGGTCCAAAAACAGATGCCATCATGAAGATGCCAGAACCTTCCAATGTGTCCAGCTTGAGATCTTTCTTAGGCCAAGTCCAGTTCTACAGCAAATTCCTACCAAAACTGTCGACTATCTTGGAACCGTTGTACCGTCTGACAAAGAAAGACACCCCATGGCAGTGGGGTGCTCCTGAACAGACAGCTTTTCAACATATCAAAGACTGTCTGAGTGCTGACACCGCCCTGGCTCACTTCAACCCAGCGTTGGAGGTGGGAATATCCTGCGATGCATCAGACGTGGGAATTGGCTGTGTCTTGTTTCATAGATACAGCGATGGCAGTGAAAGACCCATTGCCAATGTCTCAAAAACACTGACGCAGACCCAGAGAAGATACAGCCAAATCCAGAAGGAGGCCCTGGCTATCATCTTTGGTCTCAACAAGTTTCACCAGTTCCTCTACGGTCGACGTTTCATCCTGGTGACAGATCACAAGCCGCTGATTGCCCTCTTTGGACCAACAAAGCCAATGTCCTGCAAAGGGAATGAACTACGAGCGGATCTAATTATTTCCCTTACATAACAAATGTATAATGTACCTTGCATTTAATTCTTTACAAACAATGCATCTTCAAATGATTGCATGACATACAAGTCTACTCCACAACAATATAATGTGAAAACAGCAGTCAGTCGCCAAAACTTCTTCAGTGTCATGCACAGTTAACGCTTGGAATTCCCTACCGGAAAATGTGGTGTCTGCACCATCCTTGAATGCTGTTTGTTTTTGTAAAGTGTTTTACGGCGCTCGCAACTGCATAGGTCATATGAGCGCGCGGGACACACCTAATATTTTCAGTTGGTAGGAAATTTTGAATTTTGCCCGGGTGGCGGCCGAAGCCTACTCTTATCGATTTTAGACCACCAAGGGATCTTTAACGTGCGCAACTTGCACACAGGCCCTCCGAGATTTTTCGCCCTTGTCCGAGAAGGCTAGGTGTAGATCTTTCCTACCAGAAGATCAGGGGTGTGGCAGAAAGACAGCGGTAAGGGGGGAGGGGGGCAAGGAGTAGCAGTAGAAAGGCTGCAGAAAGAGTCAGGAGCCCAGAGGAGGGGGCAAAGGAGGTGAGGGGATGGGGGCAGAAAGTGGAAATGAAAGCAGACAACAGAACATTGCTAGAGAGCAGGAAAGGAGGTGAAAGGAGACAATTTTAGAGAAGAAAATTTTTTGGTCGCTACCCGGATTCGAACCCGGGACCTTTGAATGAGAGGCCAACACCTTAACCTCTAGGCCTCGAGAGCCCCCCATCCTTGAATGCTTTCAAGAATAGGATCTAAATCTAGAGTCTACACATCTAGATAAATCCAGGGTTAGATTGTACTTTACCGGACCACGGGTTGCTGCCGGTCGGGACTACTTTCGCTATCGTGCCCCTTGGGCCTTGCAACTGTTGCCTGGTGGTCCGATATTCTTCCGTCCTGGTCCGATATTCTTCCTTCCCGGGCTCCCCTACTCACTCTCCTACTCGCTTTCCTACGTCTTCACCCTCCGACTGCCAACTGCAAACTGTTACCGGGTTTTTCAGCCATCACGACAGTGCCCTTTGACCCACGACGCTAATTGGTCAATCTAATCATGTGGTACACTATTCTTCTCTTGCTCGCGACTGTGCTAGGCGTACCCCCCCCCCCCCTCCCCTCGACACCAACACCCTGTGGTCCGGCAAAGTACAATGGAGGGCGAGAGATGCACTCGAGCTAGGTATCCCCCCCCCCCCCCTCCACCCCATCCCCAAAGTGGTCCGGCCAAGTATAATGGAGGGCGAGAGATGCGCATGAGCGCTCGTTTGCATAATAGCAACCCCCCCCCCCCCAGCGCGACTTTGCGCGTGCTGCGAAGCTGGGCACGAGAGCTAATTTGCATAATTGGCACCACTGTTCCAGGTTTAATTACCCTGATTGTCCACTTTGCGCCATTATTGAATTGTTTGTGATGCTTACATGATGTTTTCGCTATGGCTGACCCGAGATTTTTACTGTTTTTTCCTTAACAAGATTAATTTCTGATCGTTTGGTTTTTGTAAAGTGGTTGTTTGACAACAATTTGTTAATTGATTTTTTGGATGTTTTATGTGAGTGTGGTGCTTTAGCTTTTGTGAAAGATTCTACATATTCTGCTGACGGACATTGCTGGAGGTGCGTTTCCCGGAGGTGTAGGAGAAAGATCTCCATTCGTTTTGGGAGCTGGTTCAGCCACTCCCATTTTCTTTGGAGACAGTTTTGAAAGTGACTTATTTCTGGTCAGGGGCTTCCAACAAACAGTGTAGTTTAGAGTGTGGTGTAGGCGAGAAAAGTGTAGTCGATTGGTTTAATTTTTGTAGAGACGTTTGTGTAGATATTTTGGACAGTGAGGATAGGTTTAGTCAGATAGGTGGCGATGGTGTTGTGGTAGAAATAGACGAGAGCAAGTTTGGAAAGAGGAAATTTCATAGAGGCAAGCATGTAGATGGAGTTTGGGTTTTTGGGGGTATAGAGAGAGACAATAGAGAGAACTGTTTTTTTGTAGTGGTAGAAGATAGGTCAGCAGGCCCTTTAGTCCCAATAATAGAAAAGTATATTGGGAAAGGTTCTGTAATAGTTTCAGATTGTTGGAAAGCATACGATAGGTTAGGAGACTGCGGTTATACCCATCAAAAGGTTAACCACAGCAAACATTTTAAGGACCCTCAGACTGGTGCTCACACCAACAACATTGAGAGTACGTGGCACAGTCTGAAGAGGAGCAAGGGCACCTTCGCCAAAACTCTCATAGCTAGTTATTTCGCCGAGTTTATCTTCCGTAGGAAGTTTTGCCGGGACCAGGCTCCTTTCAGAGCATTTACCTCCTCCATAAGTGAGGTCTATACCAAAAAAAAGGGAGTCACTGCGCTACGTCAGAAGTGGGCCGCAAACTGCAATTGAAACAGCCGGGCCAGTCGACAACCTCAACGGCTACAAGTACAACTTCCAAAAAGTCTACAACCGCAAAAAAATCAAAGTGTGCGCGCCCTCCCGCCCCCCGTCGACCAAGAAAACCAGCTCCCGGCTACCGAAACCGAGCCCCCTGTCGTCGT